GCCCCCCACCTCCCCCCCACTTTAAGAATCTGGCTGAACCAGGGTTGGTGGGCGCCCCCCAGTGTTGGCCGGGAGTGGCGCACCGCCCTCTGGGCGCAGCCTCCTTGCGGCCCTGAGTGCCTGTGCAGACTCTTAAGTGTTCCTTTCCTCCAGGAAGCGCTTTGACATCAAAGAGACCTGGGCCCAAATCCTCACTCCTCCATATGCCCGCAGTCCCTGATCTCAGACCTGTCGCTTTGTTCCTCTGAGCCTCAGTTTCCCCACCCGTCACATGGGTCCGGGCTGTCGCATGGTGGCAGGGGCTGTTGTCCTCAGCGTCTCAGGGGCAGGGAAGCAAGTGCTGGGGTGAGCCCTCTGGCTTAGGTGGCTTAGCAGCACACTCAGGTCACCAGCATGGGCCACTGGCCTCAGGACCCCGGGGAGGGGGGGGCAGAGCTCGCGGCCCCACCCCCCCTCCAGCCTGCCCTCCCTGAGCGCCAGGGCCCGGTGGAGCTGAGGCTTGTCCTTGGGAACGAAAGCGTGTGTCTTCTCGTAAGCATCGAGCACAGCTCTCTCTCGGAAGCCCGGGCAGGGTCTGAGGAGAGGAAATTGAAGAAGACTGGTTACAGATTGAACTCAGCCCAAACAGCTCCCCCAAACACCAATTACGCCTCTGCTCACAGTCACAGAATAGAAGCCAGACGGTGCCCTCCCTCCAGCCCTGCTCTTACCTCCTCCTGGAGGCTCTGCAGGGCTGTCTCCCGGCTCAGCCTGTGGCCCCACTTCTCCCAGCCCTGAGGGATGGGCCATCAGTGGCCTCCACCCCCAACAGTACAGTCAGGTGCATGAGCCCCTCCTAGTGCCAGGCACGGTGCTCCTTCTGACACCTGCTCACACCCTGACCTTTCTCCCGTGCCTGGCTCTGCGTCCCCAGAGATCAGGGTGCCCTTTACCCCTTTGAAGCATGGCACACGGGGCTCAGATTTACCAGCCAGCGAGGCCGAGCCCCCACTCCGCCACTTGCTAGCCACCTAACCCTGCTTAAGCAGCCACTCCACCCTGCTTGGTCTGCAGAATGATGCATCGTGATGGATGCCCAGCCAGTGTATGCCCGGGCAGCCGGAAGGCCAGGGATCTCCTCGGCCGCCCTCCCCCAGCCTGCCCGACCTGCGCATGTGCACACACGGGGCACGCAGAGCTGTGCGCTGGGGCCAGACCCCGACACGTTTGCGAGGGCGAGCGGGCCATCCAGAGGCCTCCCTGGGCCATCCAGAGCTCCCTACACTCCCACAGCCCCCTCCACACCTCCGGTCAGACACGGCTCAGCACTTAACGTCTGTCTGCTCCACAGCTGCCCCAGAGGGCGGCGTGTCTGGCTGAAGACTGTTGATTCTCAGACGTCCTCTAGCCTAATCAGAAGAGAAAAGCAAGCAGGTCTGCGTGCTCTGAGGATGACAGATGTGTTGGCTGTGCCTGGCTCTGGCGGGTGGGTCTGTGGCTCCCAGAGGGGGCCTTACAGCCTCGGACTCCCCGCCCTGCCTCACTTCTACAGCACAGCAACCCCCCACCCCCACCCCACCCTGGTTCTAGCGTTGCTCACACTCACCATCCCCCAAGCAGCCCGCTGCCCCTCTTTCCTCCGGGCCGCTGGCTCGGCTGCCTTTCCCCCCCTCTCAGCCCCCAGGACGGGAAGAACCAGTGCCCTCTCCACAGTGTGCCCCACTCAGAGGTCACAGGCACATCTGGGCTGCACGTGCAAAGCCACACAAATCAGCGAATTCTTGCACAGCAGCCTCCCCCATCCCGTGGGCCCTTCTGAGCGTCTACACCCTCCATCTCTGAGCCCCACTGCTTCCTGGGCACCCAGCCACCCCACCGACCCTGCTTTCTCCCTTGAGCTAGAGGCCCTGTGGGGCATGTGTCAGGCCTCCCTCCAGGCTAAGTTCCTTGGGGGCAGAGGACGTGTCGTATTCATCACAGTCAGCAGAGCCTAGCACGGTGCGCAGGCTGGGGCAGGGCCCACGAAAGTTGAGGGGAAGCAGGGGAGGGGTGAACTGATGGATGGAGAGGAGAGATAAGGGAATGAGTGGGTGGGTGGATGGATGGACATAGGGATGGGCAGTTAGGCAGGTGGATATAGATAATGGATAGATAAATGGATGAATGAATGGATGGACGGGAGGTTGGAGAAATTCTGGATGGATAGATAGGTAGGTGAATGAATGATAGATGGGAAATGAATATAGTAGTGAATGGTTGAATGGGTAAGTGGGCAAGGGGATGGATGGATGGATGGATGGATGGATGGATGGATAGAGTGATTCATTTTTGGATGGATGGACAGGTTGTTTGATTCACAGATGAACTGATAAGAAGATGCATTCATCACGTGGTCTGGGTAGTCAATCCAACTTGGTCTAGGCTTTGTTGTCCCCTGCTCCTGCCCCAGCAGACTCAGTGGCCAGTGGATATAGCCCAGATCTTCTGAGGAATTGTGGAGACAGGCGGACTTTCTGGTGGGAGGTGAGCTGTTAGAACCCAGTAACAGCCACAGCCAGGGAGGCCTCTGCCATTGATTCACATCTGTGCTGTCATCCACTGACCATCAAAGGCTGGCCACTCCACATGGCGCTAGGGACCTGCTCTGAAGTGGCCAGGCCGCCGACCTACAACACAGATGGACCATCCTTTGGACAGTTAACTGCTCACCAACCATTTCTCCATGGGCCTGGCCTCGTGCCAGTCTTGAGAGTTCCACAGGTGAACAGGGCCCTATTTCTCCTCTCAAGATGCTCATAGGAGAGAAGAAACTGTACCAAGTTCAGAGCAATAGCAGCCTTTACCTGGCACCTACTTGGTAATAGGGAGGTCATTATTTAAATCACTCCTAAACTTTGTAGCAGTCCTGTAAGCTGTGTGACAGCTTTTTACCAATGTGTGACCCCATTTTACCGATGAGGGGTCTGGGGCTCAGTGACTGAGATAAATAAGTCTGACCCAGGTCACCCGTTCCTGTGCAGTCCAGTGACCTCATAGAAGAAACAGGAAACAAAAGCGCAGAGAGGGGAGGGGTCTTGGGCCAAGGCCACAGAGCCACACAGCAACAGTCACTGAACGGGATGCCCTGTGCCCAGTGAGTCAGGCCCACCAGTGACCACCCAGAGCCCAAGCTGAAGGCCACATGAGCTGGCCGGCACAAAGGTGGAGAAGCTTGGAGGTGGGCTGGCCAAGATACGGACGGCTGCGTGCTCAGGGGCCAGAACAAAACTGGGCCCCTGGGACTGGCCTCAGAGGCCACTTGTGAGCCCAAGAGCCCTGCAGGGTGAGGGTGCTATGGGCGGGCAGCTCTGAGAGCAGCATGTGGCGACTGCTGACCCTGCTAATTGGGTGTGACATCACATAAATAAACGGAATAACTCGGTTAGCAGAGAGAGGCTGCTGGGCAGGGAATTAGCCGATTTGCATGGCTTTCCACTCGGAGCCCAGACGGCCAGGCCACCCGTGGCCTCGGAGGGGGCACGGTTTAAAGAGAGAGCACAGGAGGCGGAGGTGAGGACCCACCCCTGCCCTCTCCAAGGGCCCTTTTCTCCATGTGGAGGTTCCTCCCAGCTCTGCCTGTGCAGAAGGAGCCCGTGTGAGCCAGGGCTGAGAGCTGCACGGAACAGCTGTGCTTCCCGGGGAGACTCCGAGAGGCAGAGTCAGGGCCAAGGGCAGCCCCGCGTGGGAGCACCCCACGCGCCAGGCGCCTCGCCAGGGGCCGCACGAGTCTCATCTTGTCCAGCCCTCCCCGGCCCCGTGACGGAGGGCCTGCTGCTGTTCGCCTGCCCTCTCTCTCTCCTTCGCTGCTCCCTCTCCCTTTTCTCCCCTAGAGGCACCTTGTTCTAAGTCATTTCACTCTCTTCCGTCCATTTTTAAATTTTTCTTGCACAGACCACGTTGTAACGATAGTCACAAAACCCTAAGCGAAAGAAACAAAAGTTTCCCGCCGCTAAGCCGTGATCTGTCATCCCCCTTTTACAGAAGGGCCGACGGAGGGAGGTTGGGGAAGGTGAGGGACTGCCCTGGGTCAGCAGCAAGCGGGAGGTAAAGGCAGAGGGAGCCCCCGGCGCCCCGCACTTTCCATTCCTTCCCAATTCTGGGATCTGGCCGCTGCTAAGACCCCTCCCTGCTTCGGCTCCAGGGCAGACTTGAGCTGCAGGAGGGAATAGAGTGCCCCCCCCCCCCCGCAACCGCAGGGGAAGCCACTGTTCCCTGTGTCTCCCAGCACCAAGGCAACAGGGGCCTCAGAAGTTCCCACCAACCCTTTTGCAGCTCGCCTCACCTGCGACCCTTGTGGGTACGCCCTAGGTGTCCCTCTGGAGGACCCACAGTCAGTGACACCCATCGCTGGGATCCCAGCTCCGCACCTAACCTGCTGTGTGACCCTGGGCGAGTCACCCACCTGCTGGGCTAAGGCCCAGCCCCCCGGGGCCTGGGGAGACCTGGGCGGGGGTTAGAGAGTGAAGCGCCCACCACCCACCCAGTGGGCCCCGTGGCCTGGGTCCCAAGCAGAATCTAGAGGCCTTGGTGTCAAAATTCAGTCTCTGTTGACTCAGGCCCGCTGACCGGGAGGGGCTTGAGCTCAGGCAGGGACCCCTCCCGACAATGCCAGCAGCTTCCGAGCCTAGCCAGACTGGGCCCGGGGAAATCTGGCTTTGGGGAGCTAAGTCACACACACGAGACCCCAGTGTGAGAATAGCCTGGGCGCAGTGTGCTTATAGTTGACTCCCTGGCTGAGTTTGGCCTGGGGGTCTCTTTCTGATCCACCTGACCCCTGCCCTTGGTGGGCCATGGCCGCACTTGCTCTGAAGCCAGAGCTGGTGGACGTCCAGACCTGGGTGGTGATGGTTAGCAGGAGTGGGCTTCACCAAGAAGGAATCTCCAGCGCAAGGCTGCCCTGGCTTAGGGAGAGCCAGTCCCCAACTTGGGGGTCACAGGCTACCCTCCTGAACCCTGCAGAGCTCACCCGCCCCCACTGCCAGCATCCAGGAAACACTTTAATACTATCGTGTTTCTCCAGACCTTGGTTTTCCCATCTTTGCAATGGGGCTACTAACCCCCATCCTGCCAGGGATGAGGTGGGGTGGATACAAAGGGAAAGCGAGAGAGAGGGAGTTTGGGAAGGTTCCTTATTCCTGGCCCGCCCCAGAGCCACTCCTCCCCAGTGGGGCCTGGGGTCTTCGCCACCCCAGACCTGCACGTTGCCCTCCTGGCCTTGTTCCTGGAGCTTCATGCTGCCTCCTTCCCTCTCCCACAGCACTTACAGAACCCTGCTAACTTCCACAATGCCGCCACGGAGCTGCTGGACTGGTGTGGGGACCCGCGAGCCTTCCAGCGGCCCTTCGAGCAGAGCCTGATGGGCTGTTTGACGGTGAGTCTGCACCCCCTCCCCCACCTGCACCCAGGGCGGATGCCTGGGGACCCGTGTGCCTGTCCAGCTGTCGGAGAGGCCGCAGATAACAGAGGATGAGAGATAGAAAGACAGCAGTGCTGGAGGGCACAGCCCGTCTGTGTGCACCCCCCCCCCCCAACATACAGCCTCCGGGAAACCAGTCTGATGGGGAGACGTGGCTGTCAGAGTGATACGGGCTCCCCACACCTGATGGGAAAGCACAGTGCCTCGCTGGGTTGGAGGGGGTGGGGAAGCTCCAGGTCTGGTGAGGGTAAATGTTCCACCCTCAGCAAAGCAGAATTTCTAGCCATTCTTTAAAAAGAAAAAAAAAAGTTTATTTATTTGTTTTGAGAGAGGGAGAGAGAGAGTGTGCACACACAGGAGGAGGGGCAGAGAGAGAGAGAGAGAGAGAGAGGGAGAGAGACTCCCAAGCGGGCTCCACACTATCAACACAGAGCCTGATGCAGGGCTCGAACTCACAAACCGTGAGATCATGACCTGAGCTGAAACCAAGAGTCAGACTCTTAAGCGACTAAACCACCCAGGCGCCCTGAGTCATTCTTTTATCCGGTGGTTCAGTCGTCCATTTGGGCAAACGTCTATCGAGCTCTTTTTGTAGTCATCCATTCTTCTACCCATTCATTTAAGCATTTAATGAGCTCCTACTACATCCATCCATCTGTCCAAATAAACATCGATTGAGCCCTCATTTATCACATATGATCCCCTCTGCGAAGCCCTGCGAAAGCACAGAGTAAGACTTTGCCAAGCGCGATTCCCTCTTTAGCAGGGAGACTGGTGTGGAAAGAGATGGTCGAGAGAATTGTGTACGAGGTGAAGCGGCCCAGAGAAGGGAAGCGTGAACTGCCTGGGAGGTGGGGCGGCTTGTGGAAAACTGGGGCAAGGAACTGCAGATACCCCTGCGGGTATCTTGGACAGCATGTGCAAAGGCCCAGAGAGACCACAGAACCCAGAGAGCCGAAATTCACTCAGCTTGATAAGGGCCTGGGTTGCAGGCTGGGCAGATGCCAGGCCCAGAACTTGTGGCATGATTTGCCAAGTCTCAGAGCTCACCGGCTGACAGCCATGGGGAAGGAGCTTGCTGCTTGTGAATGACCCCAGCCACATGACGTGCATCCATAAGCTCGAGGGAGCCTTGGGGACCAGCGAGGGCAGCTTCTCAAAAGGCCCTGAGTCAACTTTTTTTTTTTTTAATTTTTTTGAATGTTTATTTATTTTTGAGAGAGAGAGAGAGACAGAGCATGAGCAGGGGAAGGGCAGAGAGAGAGGGAGACACAGAATCCGAAGCAGGCTCCAGGCTCCGAGCCATCAGCACAGAGCCCGATGCGGGGCTTGAACTCACAAGCCGTGAGATCATGACCTGAGCTGAAGTCGGACGCTCAACCGACTGAGCCACCCAGGCGCCCCAGCCCTGAGTCAGCTTTGAAGGGAACATGGGTAAACAGATTTCTGGAGAGCCCAGCTACCCCAAGACCTGGAGAGGAGGAGCCAAGGCAGATGCCTGGCCAGGTAGGAATCTTTGGTGAAGTTCAGGGGCACCATGTTCCCTGAAAAGCTCCAGATGGGAGGGAGGCAAAAGGTCCAGCATGGCCCTGGCTGGAGCAAAAGGAAGAGTGACATTCTCATGGGTCATTATTATAAAACACCCCTTCTGTGCCTGCTACTGAGCGTGGTCCGCTGCATAGACCATCTCACTGAATCTTACATTCCATGAAGCCGGCCCTGCCATTGTCCCCGTTTTATAGAGGAGGAAACTGAGGCTTGCCATGATGGCTTCCCAAGGTCACACAGCCAGCTAGAAGTGGGTGTGGGATTCAAGGCGAGACCCCTCTGCCTCTAGAGGGAATGCTCCTGGCCAGTGGGGATGCCAGCCGGGGTGGGGGGCGGCTCCTCAGGGCTCCTCCATTCGTCCGAGGCCGATGCTGTCTGGTTTCCTTGGAGCCACCAGGCCAAATCAGGTGCCGCCCAGCCCTCCTCATCCTCCAGCCCGCTGGGCTCCCCTCCCTCTACGAGCTCCCTTAATCCTCTTTGCGGGGATCCTGGTTCAGGCTAAGCCCCACAGGCAGGGACAGATGTTACTAGAGGCCCCCTCATTCCCATCCCAGCTGCCAGCAGCCATAAGTCAAACAGGAGGTGGGGGACCATGCACAAGGTGTGGCCAGACTGGCTGCCACAATCCCCCAGCACCCCGCCCCGAGCCTGGCCCTGCCTGGGATATAGGGATTCAGAGCTGAATCAGACAATGGCTCCGTGCATGCTGGATGGGCATGGGGTGTGAGGTGACCAGTAGCTGGCCCCACCCCAGCTCTGCCATTCATTCACTGAACAGACATTCACTGAGGCCTTATGCCGGGCACTGGAGGAGTGCACAAGCACAGCGGACCTCTCTCAAGCAGCGTATGTTCCAGTGAGGGAGGCAGTCACTGAACTCATAAAAGAGTAAATAAGGACATACATCAGTGCCCTGTGAGAGGGGTAGAGTGCTGGCTGGGAAAAGTCTCCTGAGGAGGTGACCCCCAGCCGATACCTGAATGGCAAGAAGGAGTCATCCATGAGAGGGGAGGGTGCTCCGGGCAGAGGGCACTGCTAGTGCAAAGGCCCTGAGGCTTGATTTGTTCAAGGAACAGAAGGAAGTCTCAGATGGCTGGAGCACAGAAGAGGGAGAAGGATACAAGAAAAGGTCAAAAAGGGAAGCAGCAACAAGCCAAGACAGGGCCTGCAGCTGAGGGAGAAGAGCTTGGATATTATTTGAAGGGTGATGGAGGGCCTTGAAGGATCTTAAGCAGGTGAGTGATGGGATATGATTTGGGTGAGGACAGAAGCACTAAGGGGAGCATCCTTGGAGTATAGGCTGGAAGGATTCTGGAGGTCTTCCCGGAGGAGGGAGCCCAGGGAGGAGCCCGTAGGCTCTGACTAGCCAGTGGGGAGGCTGTGGCTTCCTGGGCAGGGGCAGCTGTGTGGACAGAGGCACAGCGCCAGCTCTCCTGGGCCTCCCCTCCTCACACGACAGCCTAAGGCACGCACTTGTTCAGTGTGGGCTTTGACCCCCACCTCTCTGGCCTGCTGCCTAGCCAGAAAGGGGTCTTTGGTTCACCTGCCTCAGTTGCAGAGATGGGAGTTTGACTGTCCCTTGGAGCTCAACAGAACCAGCAGCAGGGAAGTGCGGGGAATGGGGAGTCACAGAAGACAGTCTCAGTACCCAAGGCGTTTTCCTGGCTCCTCGGTCCTTATGAAGACCCTGCATGGCAGGCAGGGGAAGGATCACCGCTTCTGTTTTACAAACAAGGCAACTCAGGCGGCGAGGGGACGGCGTCCTACCGTCCCAGGGCCCCGCTGCTGGTCCTCCCGTCCCCCTGCACATCCTCAGCCCCAGCCATGTCCTGCGGGAGGGACAGGATGGGGGAGGTCAGAGATCCTAGGGGGCCTAAACAGGGCAAAGCTGCTGAGCTCCCCGTACGCACCCCTCCCCATCCAGTGGCAGGCCGGGCACTCCAGGTTGCCACGATCCCCTGGGTGACCCCTGGGAACAAATTCCTCTGGATCCGGCTTACTTGGAGGACAGAAATTAAAAACCGCTTCGCCTCAGTCAGTAAACGGGCGCATCTTTGTTATACTGGGGTTGGGCCCTGGGGTGAAAGCAGCCAGCAGCCCCCTCGCCCCACCCTCCCCTTCAGGCCCTCTGACCCCAGGATGCAGAAGTGTAGGAGCCCTGTGGCCCCTCCCAAGGGGCAAGGGGTGTGAGCCGTGGTCACCGCTTCAGACCACGTTTATCCTAACCGTGCCAGGGGCTCGCTTCCTGGCCCTTCCCTTAACATCAGGCCTCTCTGGACTCAGTCATCCTTCCTCCCCGAAGGTAGAACACACTTGATATGCTCTAGGAACAGAAAGAAGGAGGCCAGAGAACAGGAGAGGGGAGACCGGTAGGAGAGGAGGTGGCAGAGGGAAACAGGCGCCAGCTAGCTGAGAGCAGTGCCCTCCCCATCTCTCCAGTGGCAGCCTCCCCTTAGCCTCAGAGAACTCGCTGCTGAAGCCGTCGGGGTATGTCCATAAATAGCATTCATTGAGCTGTGTGCCTAGTCCTGGCTCCCATCCTCTCAAGGAGGGCACTGCACAGGGGAGCCGACTGAGGCCCAGAGAGCTGAGTCACTTGGGTGAGGTAGGACAGCTAGCAGGTGGCAGAACCAGAGCCCCATCCCGTGCCTGACTCCAGAGCAGCAGCGGCAACAGCCACAGACACCTGCCGAACCCTGCACTGAGATGGGGAAGAGGGGCAGAGAGGGAAATGAGGGCTGTGCCCTGAGGGGCTTGTGTTACGACCATGAGACAGAACTGGGACACACGGAGCTGTCAGAGCCCCCCAGCACACAACCTTGGCTATAGTGGACGTCCTTGCATTTTTACCGAGGAGAAACCTGAGGCTCAGAGAGGTTAAGTAACCTGCCTTAGGCTGCACAGGATACGGTGGAGCAGAATTGGAGTGCAGGCCTGGCGTGCCTCCAGTTCCCCCTGACTCCCTCAGAGGGTGTCAGAATCCAGCCCCACGCCAGGAACAGAAGTCCTTTCCCTAGCATCCCCCAGACAGCTTGTCCTGCTTCGGAGCCAAGAGGCTCACCACTTTTCAAGGCGACACTCTCTCTTTATGGGACTAACGTAACTGGCTGCGGGACCTTGAGCACACGCCCTCTGTCATCTCTGGGCTTCAGTCTCCCTCTCTGTGGCACAAGGGGCTGGACTCCCTGACCCCTAGGTCCCTCTGGGACCCCGGGTCTCCGTCTCAGCCCTCCCGGAGCTGGCTGGGCCTGGGCAGCCAGCAGAGGGCAGCAGCACCTCTGCGGAGTCCTTTGTGGAGGAGGGGTCTTCCCCTGGCCCACCTTCAGGAAGGGTTCCATGCCCCCCGCCGCCGAGGTGGAAGCAGGCCTCTGAAACACAACAGGATACACAGCCAAGTCCACCCCCGCCCCGCCCCGTCAGTCAGACCCACCTCACAGGACTTTCCTGGGGGTCCACAGGCTGGGCCAGAGGAAGCCAGGGGGTGCACATAAGGCACTCTAGGGCCTCAGGGTCCAGCTTAGCCACGCCTGTGCTGTGCTGCCCTTCAGCAAGGCCCTACCCTCTCTGGGCCTTGGTGAAAGGAGGCTGTTGCCAGTGACCCTTCTGAACGCTGGGGCTCAGGGGATTTGGCGACAAGCTGACCTTCCCAGGCCTGCAGGACAGCCCTTATACCAGCACCAGGCCTCTCTTGCTCAATTTAGCTAGTTTGTTTTTTGGTTTTTTGGTTGGTTTTTGTTGTTGTTGTTTAAACCAGAGCAACAGGATTAGCCAGTATTGGCCAAACAGAGGGACCTTTGCCTTCCTGCCCTCAACACAGGGCCTGAGGGTTCTCCGTGCAGTTATGGCCTTAACCCTTTTGGGGCTGAAAAAGAGGGCCTCTCGTGGAAAGAGCCCAGGCTCCACAGGCTGACTGCCTGGGATTGCATCCTGGCTCTATCGTGGACAAGATTTGGAACCTTTGGTTGTTCTTCACACTCAGTTTCCTCATCTGTGAAACAGAGATAAGAATTCCGCCTCCTGGAGCTATCGTCAGAATTTGGCACTTTGCTGCGTACAAAGCTTTTACTTGGCCCCTCTTACCGGGGAGACCATATTCTCATTACACTATTTGCCCTTGTCAACATTTCCCACAAACAGCAGCCTCACTGATGCACTCGTCCAAACAAACTGCTCACTCACATCCACTCCAAGGTTCCACCAAACAAAAGGGCACCATAGTCAACATCTAAGCTGAAGTGACCCTTCCCGACCCACTGTAGAGAGTGCCTGTCTCCAGACCTGAAATGTTCAACAGGCCACAGAGAATAAGTGGCCTTGGTTTTGCTGAGTGGACGGTGAGCCTAACAGTGAGGATGCCCTGCCCAGAGGTGGCCCAGAGCCTCTGGATCATGGGGTGTGTGTAGGGACAGGAGGTGCGGCAAGAACCACAGTCAGGAGCAAATAGAGACTGTGGAAAAGAGGCCCGGGGGAACAGAAGGCCTCTGTGTCAGGGACTTCTGTTTGCAGCAGAGAAGCTGAGCAAACATTCAAACCTGAGAAGTCCTTTTTCCTCCTTGCCCTGGGACTTCCCAGGAGGTGGAGGGGTGCAGGGAGACAGGGCCCCATTCCAAGAGGCTGTGGGTATCCTGGGAAGGGGGAGTCCGCTGGCTCCTCCCTGGTTCACCATGGGCAGTCTGTCCAGGCCTTAAGTATCCATAGTTTTTAAATGAGAGGGTTGGCCTAGATTAGCTGTTTTCCCAACCTTTTTAGCCCTAGACCCCTTGTAACGAACCCTTAAATATAAAGCAGATAATGAAGAGCTATCCCAGTGGTTACAGAGGCTGGGCCAAAACCCATGGCAGCCGGAGGCCCTCTGAGCACCTGCCTCCGGGGCAGGTGGTCTCTAACGGCTTGCTGTCGGTGACGGAGTCTTCTCTTTCTCAAAAGAACGAGCTCCCACATCTGGGAGCACTCCTTTCCCACTCAGCCATAACCGCCCCAGCTGCTTAGCCTGCACCGACTCCCATCTTCCAAGGTCCTTCCTTCTTAATAAGTAAACCTAATTTTGCTGCTGTTAATGAGGAAGGCGGGCAGGAGGGAGCCGGTCTGGCAATGGCAGGACACCTGGGAACGGGTGGGGAAGGCATGAAGCCTGATGGGTGTGAGCCTGCAGAGCCGTCCGTGGGTCCCCCAGGAGCACCCCATCCCACACTGCCCCCAGGGACTGTCAGCCCTTCTAGCCCCTCACCTGTCCCCCTTCCGACCCGTACTTTGGAGGTTCTCAAGGAGAAAGAAGGGACCTCCGGGCTCCAAACACACAGCCATTAGCAAGCTTCCATCAACATGCTTATGGGAGCCTCCCACGTGCTGAGCAGGTACATGGCGCCGGGTACAGACCCCAGGCTGAGCATGAGGGTCCTGCAGCCTCTGGGCTGGGGTCTGAGAGGCTGCAGGTCACCTGGCCCAGAGCGGAGCACTGGGGAGCATAGGTGTGTGCATCTGGAAAAGGCTTAGCGGTCTGTCGAAGCTGAAGCTCCGTGAGCAGCGTGTCCAGTGCTTATCCTCGAGCACAGATCTTGACTCGGGCTGAACCAAAGCTGCTGGGTGAGGGCAATGCCTAGAGTAGTGAGGGCAGTGAGCATCCGCGATGGGGGGTGCAGGCGCTCAGGGAGGGGATGGGAAGAGGTGCCAGGAGACTTCCCGAGGGCCGGGACTCAGAAGGGAGTTTGGGGAACTGCTGTGGGGGAAGAGAGGCCTGGCCTGCAGCCACCCAAAACACGGTGGTACAGTACCCCCAGCCGCCTTCTGGAATGTGGCCGAATCGAGTCCTTGAAAGCTGTAGGGCCTGGGCTTTGGGGTCAGGCCCACCAGCCGACCGGAAACCCCTGAGGGCAGGGGCCAGGATCCCTGGGCCTGGCACGGAGGAGGTGCTCATCAGTGCTTGCTGAGTGAGCAAGGCACAATCTGAGTCCCAGCTCTGCCTGATCTTGGGGACCTGCCTTAGCCTGCGCACCTCACCTGCCTCACCTGTTAAACGGACACACATGCCACTCTGGGCTCGGAAGCCGGGCGCCAGCAGGGACTCACTCTGCCCTTCCTCTGCCTCTTGCTCGCAGGTGGTCAGTCGGGTGGCAGCACAGCAAGGGTTCGACCTGGACCTCGGTTACAGACTGCTGGCAGTGTGCGCTGCGAATCGAGACAAGTTCACTCCGAAGTCTGCGGGTAGGTGACCGCTGGGGGTTCCACGGACGTCACTGGGCGGTGGGAGTATAACCAGATTCTAACTCAGGGCTGCATGCCACCCCTGTCAGCAGGTGCCTTGGTTCGTCCAGATGTGGCGTGAGCCTCCAGGGACCAGCAGCTTGTCCACCAGGCTGGGCAGCCCATGGCTGAGGCTCCGCCCCTCCTCTCAGGCAGTATGCTTACCTGTGGGGGTGCGTCGGGGCCCGTGAGGGTCCCAAGGCACACCACACCCCAACAGGCTAAAGGGAGACATGCACCATCTCATTTCATCACCATGATGACCCCTTGGCATAAGCACTGGGATCATCCCCATTTTACAGAGCAGGAAACTGAGGCTCAGAGAAGCTGGAGAGGTTCCTCAGGTCACACAGCTGGAAAGTGCCAGAGCTGGGGCTGAGGCCTACACCTATACTCGAGTCAGCATTCTTGACCCTGACACTCCACCGTATTCATTCAGAACATTTGTACTTAAAACACAAAATGAAAGTGAGTCAGTGTGCATGCAGGGTTCTAAAGCCTGCTCCGCATAGTATTAGCCACTGCAACTTTGTCATTGCTTGGGACCTCCTGCCCCTATATTAAACAGAGGCCACAGAAGGTTCTAGCAGCATTCTGTGCGAGGGCTTTAACCACACCAAAGATACAGTTTTATATCTCACACCATCCTCAGCATCTTGCGTAAGGTTGGGGGTGCTGTGTAAGCTTTAACACCCGACAGAACTGGGACAACCCAGCCCTGTCACTTGCTGAGTGTGTGGCCTCCGAGCCTCAGTTTATCTCCTCGGGAAGGCAGGAATGATAATGAGACTTACCCTGCAGGGGTCGTCGTAAGTTCTAGAAACACGTGTGCATCGACAAACACAGCGTCTAGATGTTGTTAACCTTTTTTATGTTGGAGCAATTCATTGGAAAAGAAAAAAAAATCCATTATTTCCTTTGTATGATAATAAAACAGACGTTTTCTCTGAATTCGTCAATCAGTTCTTTGGAGTATATATAGAAACAGCCTTAACGAAAACGTTTAAAAGACTTCTCACGATGTATTTTCGTAAGTCTGCTCAACCTATCCTCTCTCGGATGCGGGTTCGTGCTCCTCTCCATGTATGTTTGCAGACCGTGCACACGGACGATAGGTCTTTTACAGGGTGTGTGAAATTATGGTTAGCCAGTCGCTACTCTAAGATCCTTGACGTGCCAGCCTGTGCTGGGATATCGCTGTTGTATTGAACTGCTTGCCAGAAAATGGTCTTGGAATCTCATAAGTGACGTCTATTCCTGATGGACTCTGCAGTTTTAATAATAACTCAAGTCAATACAATTTTGACAAGGTAAAAATTGCTCCTTATCCAAGAAACATTTATATCCATATCTCTATGAAGCTCCTGCTCTGTGCGGGCACCTGGCCAGGTATGGGTTCCGACGAGGAACGCAACAGACGTGGTCCCGCCTCGGGAAACTTACAGTTTAGAGCAGAGGTCAGCAGACTTCCGTGAAGAGCCGGACAGTAAGGAGCTCCGGCCTTGCGGGCTATACAAAAGCAAGTGTAGACAGTATTTAAACAAGTGGGTATGGCTAGTTCCAATAAAACCTCATTTATGAAATCAGGTGGTTGGCTCTGGTTTTCCTGACCCGTTGCCTATGAGAAAAGAAAAAACATCATATAACCACAGGTGTATGTGGGTGGGTGTGCATATGCATGTATGTAAATTCCAGCTGAGCTAAATTCCATCAAGGAAAAGTCAGGGATGCTATGAGACCACTCGGGGGTGGGGGGAGGCTTCCCTGGGACCTGAAGATTGAGAAGTGTTGAATAGGTAAAGGAAAAGAGGAAGAGCTTCTTCCCAGGTAAAGGGGACAGCCTGAGGAAAGGTCCTGAGGTAGAAGGAAGCACGGCTTTTTGGCAGAACTAAAACAAGGGCAGTGGTTCCAGAGCTCAGAGGCAGGAGTCAGCAACAGTTAGACACAAGCGGCCTGTCTTGAAGGGTTGTGGTTTTTGTACTAAGAGTGATGAGAACATGGCTAAATTCTCCTTTTGCAAAGATGGCTCCGGCTACCAAGGAAGAACAGATTGCACAGGGGAGGGGGACAGTGTAGATGCAGGGAGCCGGTTGGCAGATTGCTGGGGACATCAGGATGATGGTGGCTGGACCAGGAAGGTTCCACTTCCTGTGGAGTAGAGAGAAGGGGATAAACCCAGAGGGTGTGTAAGTGGCAAAACCAAGTCAAGGATAGCATGGACAGAGGGGTAGGAGGAAAACAAGAGAGCGGGCTGTCCCAGAAGCCCCAGCTGCTCCCTCCTTGGGGAGGAGAGGCCCAGGTCCCTGTGCAGCCCTTCCCTCAGGGGTCTCTCATGGCCCTGCCGGTACGTGCTGGGTGCTCTCTTGTGCTTTGCTGCAATCCTCAGCTTTGTCTGTATTTATGGATGAGGAAATGGAGCTCAGAGAGGTTTGTGACTTACCTGTTGTCCCACAGCTCGTCGGTGATAGAGCTGGGACTTCAACCCGTGGCCTCCTGACTCCAGGCCCAGTCTCTGCACTCCACCACAGCTGACTCTGGACCTAGACTTTGGAGGCCCCTGTGCTCCTGGGCAGGATCTGGGAGGCTACTCCATCTGGGAGAGGCCTTTCCTTTGTTCAAGTCTCTCTAGCGTGGCCCTGCCCTTGCTAAGTGGTATCTTCCAGCCTCGCTTCTCCTGAAACAAGGGCTTTGTTCTGCCCTCTGTTTGCACTCCCGGCTGTGCACAGCTCTTCACAGTGTATTGAGCCTTTTCCCAGGCCCTGTGTCTGCTAAGTCGTATGATATACTGTAGGCCCCTGAGGCGAGGCCTCAGCATATACCCATTCTGCAACTGAGAACACGGAGGCCCGGCAGTCCCTGTAGCTTTGCTACCACTCGAATTCCCTTCTTGGGAGGCAAACCCCTGTCGGCACCGACAGCCATGACTAACCACTCTCACAGCTCACCCCCACCTCCTCGAGAAATGTGGCCCTCAGGACTCGGGTTCCCAGCCATGACCCTGCTTGGCCCTTCCTCTGGGAAGGCAGGCCACCAGTGTGAGGGCGAAGGCTCCAAGCTGTGGTAGAATGCAGGGTCGGCCAGGGGCAGGGGCAGGACCATGGGAGGGACGGAAGCCACGGGGAGCTGAGCAGTGACCCCGAGTTCCAGGGGCGGCTCCGACACTGGCCCCCATCTTCACCGTGTTGCCCACCTCCCAGAGCTGTGGCCTTGTCTGTCAGGATGCCTATGAGGATTAAGCGAGGGCCCCGCCGACACCTGGCACCCCTGTGCCAAATAAATATTACTTTCCAGTCCTCCTTCTCTGCTCCTGTCTGCCTTTTTCCCCCTGACATGGCTTCCTACCTCTCCAAGGCTTTTTTCTGCCCCAGCAAGGTTGTTTCTCACTGCTCCATTTCCCTGAGGTTCCGGGGGCTGCGTGTGACCTGTTGTAATCCCACCTCTGGGTGCAGCGCTGAGGGTCTCTGGGGCCTCAGGTGTGGGTGCGGTGGCCACACTGGCCACAGCCGGGCGCGCCCAGGCCTCTTCCAGCCGGGCTGCCGCAGTTCTAGAACATGCTCTGTCCATAGAGCTCCGGCAGCCAGCCCACGCTACCTCTGGCCCTCCTCCCTGACTCTGTCCAACCTCCCATTGTGTCTGACCTGCTCTCGCGGTTTTCACCCTCCTAGTCCCTCCCTCCCCTTTCTTTCTGAGGGTCTCTGCCTCCCTTCCCTGGTGCCCCTCAGACTTTCTCCCTATGTGATGTGTGTATGTCTGTGCATGTCTGTGTATGTATGTGTCTGTGGTAGTGAGCGTATATGTGTGTGTGTGTGTGTGTGTGTGTGTGTGTGTGTCGGGGATATGTGTCTGCGTGCCTGTGTGGGGTGGTGAGCGTGTCTGTGTGTGTGTGCCTACGTGTGGTGGTGAACTGAGGGCGGGGCATGTGGCACATGCCTGTGTAGCTGGCAGTGTGTGAATCAGGGGGGCTGGGTGCCTGTCTGTGTGCTGACCACTCCCTCCCCTCCCCCTCCCCTCCATCTCCACGGTCCGTCTCTGCTTCAGGTCAGGAGCAGCCAAGCTGGGGTTGCCTAGGCGCGGTGGGGATAGAGATCATGCCGCCGAGAGCCTACTTTGTCAGGAGGGGCTGCGCGGTGCACACAGTGGGCTGGGTGGAGCTTCGGGCTGCCGGCGGCGCTTACCGGCTCTTGCGAGGAGCAGGAGCTGGGGCCGGGGCAGCTGCCACGGCGGGCGCAGTGTGTGGCGTTGCGCCATGTGCAAGATGTGTGTGTGTGTTGTGTGTGTGTGTGGGTGTGGTGGAGAGACAGAGACATGGGGGCTGAGCTGCAGAGCACTGCAGCAAACCGCCAAGGGCGTCTCCACGTGGGCCCCTGAGATACCCAGCCTCCCAGCTCTTTGTTCTGGATGCAGCCTTTAGCCGGCTGCGCCGCCGCGCTGAGACGCCAGCAGCGTGGCACGCCCTTGGACAGGCCTCCTCGGGGGGAAGGTCCTGGGGCGGGGGGGGGGGCCCCCGCCCCTCCCTCTGCCTCCTGTCCGCGGAAGGTCACCTGCCTCGTGCCTCCCTGCCCCCCTGAGAAAGGCGCCAGCGGGCAGGCCCCCCTGCCCCCCCTGCGCTGGCCAGTGCCACCTCAGCAACCTTGGCAGGAGCGGCCGCTGAATGTCAGCCTCCTCGGGCGGCACCGAGCGGGCCCACGCCTGCTGGCTGTGTCGGCACCGAGCAGCAGGCGGTCGCCATGTCTCAAGGTCCCCGAGAGCCCTCTGCGTGCCTCGGCCGCTGTCCCCGGCCTCAATGACTCTGTGTCCCCTCAGCTGACCCCAGAACCCAAGGGAAGGGGCGGGGGGGGGGAAGCCAGGGCCCCAGAGAATGGAGGGGGACCTGCCCCTGCCTGCGGTGCCCTCTGCCTGGCCTCACGCCCCTCCTGTCGCCCCGCAGAGGGTGGGTGATGGCTCTGGGCTCTTGTCTGGGA